ATTTAAATTTATATAATAAATACATACACACATATATATACATATATATATATTATATATATATATATATATATATATATATATATATATATATATATATATATATATATATATATATATATATGCGAACAAGCCTGAATGGTCCCCAGGACTATATGCAACTGAAAACTCACACCCTATAAGTGACTCGAACCCATACTGCCAGGAGCAACGCAACTGGTATGTACAGGACGCCTTAATCCACATGATCAAGTGGATTAAGGCGTCCTGTACATACCAGTTGCGTTGCTCCTGGCAGTATGGTTTCGAGTCACTTCTGGGGTGTGAGTTTTCAGTTATATATATATATATATATATATATATATATATATATATATATATATATATATATATATATATATATATATATATGCTATTAAAAGGAAACACTTTTAACCAAGCTGAGAGACCTGGAGTAAGGCACAGCTGACAAAACAGTTCCTGGAACAGTTCCAGAGACACGAGCACTAATCCTGTTCCTCTTACTTCCCTGATCTCAGTGTTCCTGGGACAGATATACAAGAGTTCCGAGAACAGGCGTCTCAACACCATATATTTGGCAATCTGTTGATAGGCAAGTGATTCAAGATAACACTATAGAGCACGAATTATTGCCTTGGCAGTGGTTGTAGTATTGAAGATAACTTAAATATAACTAATAATAATAATCACATAGAAAACACACGAACGTGATATATTTATAAGTGTGAAAAGCCACTGGGGCTGTGAGGTTAGTGTGGTGGAGTATGCGGCTTGGTAATGCCTTGGTGGAAGGTTCGAGCCCACCTCACAGTCCTAGTGGATTTTCTCATAAATAATAATAATAATAATAATAATAATAATATTAACTTTAATATGATATATATGTACATATGATAGAGCCCAGTAGGCTTAGGAGTCTGTACAACGGCTCATTAGCAGTTGACAGGCGGGATCAAAGAGCCAGAGCTCAACCCCCGCAAGCATAACTAGGTGAGTGGACACACACACACACACAGAACAAGAACACATGCACACACACACACACACACACACACACACACACACACACACACACACACACACCACACACACACACACACACACACACACACACACACACACACAGAACACACACACACAGAACACACACACACAGAACAAGAACACCCCCTTAACAAGGATGTCAACCACACAGACGACACCACACCCACAACAATTGCCTCAACCTTCAACTCGAGGAGTCTTTAGGAAACATATTTACGCTGGTCTGATGACACTAGATCAGACAACAGGTGTATCAGTGCTTCTCAAGCCACCAGGGTGTGTCACCCCACCACAATTACAACACCCAATACCACTACAACACCCACCACAACTACCACAATGACCACAACTACAACAATCAACATTACAACACCCACTACTATAACCACAACTACAACCACTACTACAATAACAACCAATATAACACCAAGAAACACTACAACACCGACCACACCACTAGAACATACATCACTACAACCACTACCACCACTATTACCACCACTACAACCACAACCACCACTGCTGCAACAACTACAACCACTACTATAACCTACTCTCACTAGGAACGAAGCTAACCAGCCATTCCCAGAAAATAGGCTCTGAAGTCATCATTACGAGGTCGTACTCACCCCCATAACCCCCCCATTAGCCCCATTTAGTCAATTAAATTTTGTATATATATATTTCGACAGCCTATGGTCCAACCACATGAGCTGGACGGTAGAGGGGTGGTCTCGCTTCATGCAGGTCGGCGTTCAATCCCCGACCGTCCACAAGTGGTTAGGCACCATTCCTTTCCCCACCGTCCCATCCCAAATCCTTATCCTGACCCCTTCCCAGTGCTATATAGTCGTATTGGCTTGGCACTTTTCCCCTGATAATCCCTCCCCTCGACAGCCTTTGTTACAAAATGCTTCACTCTATATCAAGCATTTACCTTTCCATTGGAGACCTTCGGTGGAGAAGGAGGACCTGCTGCATGGGTAACAGCTTCTTCCCCTTATCAACCTACCCTGGCTTTGCGCCCTGGAGAGACCACTCCAGACCGACAACCGGAGCGCAACTCCATAGTCTCCTGAGACTGATGGATGCCTACTATTATGTGAATTGCAAATCACGGATGTTCCCCGCTTGACCGCGAGAACCATATGTGTGTGTGTGTACTCGCCTAATTGTACGCACCTAGTTGTGCTTGCGGGGGTTGAGCTCTGGCTCATTGGTCCCGCCTCTCAACTGTCAACTAATGTACAGGTTCCTGAGCCAACTGGGCTATATCATATCTACACTTGTAGCTGTGTATGGAGTCAGCCTACACCACATCACTGCCTAATGCATTCCATTTGTCTACTACTCTAACATTGAAAAAATCTTTTTAACGTCTCTATGGCTCATTTAGGCACTCAATTTCCACCTGTGTCCCCTAGTGCGTGTGCCCCTTGCGTTAAATAGCCTGTCTTTATCTATCCTATCAATTCCTCTGAGAATCTTGTATGTGGTGATCATGTCCCCCCTAACTCTTCTGTCTTCCAGCGAAGTGAAATTTAAATCCCGTAGTCTCTCCTCGTAGCTCATACCTCTCAGCTCGAGTACTAGTCTGGTAGCAAACCTTTGAACCTTTTCCAGTTTAGTCTTATGCTTGACTTGATATGGACTCCAGGCTGGAGCTGCATACTCCCGGATTGGTCTGACATATGTGGTATACAAATTTCTGAATGATTCCTTACACAAATTTCTAAATGACGTTCTTATGTTGGCCAACCTGGCATATGCCGCTGATATTATCCTCTTGATATGGGCTTCAGGGATCAGTGCTGGGTCCCATACTATTCCTCATTTTTGTAAATAACTTGATTGCAGGAGTCGAGCCTTTTATGCCAATGTTTGTAGATAATGCGAAACCAATGAGGAAGGTTAAGACAGTTGTGGAATGCAAGATTCTTCAAGATGATTTGAACAAGCTGCAGAGCTGGTCCGAGTAATGGCTGCCAGAGTTCAAAACCAGGAAGTTTAAGGTGATGGAAATTGGATCAGGAGCTAGGAGACCGCAAGGCCAATACACGATGAAGGGAAACTACCTCTCTATAACGACTAGAGAAAAAGACCTGGGAGTGGACATAGCACCAAACCTAACTCCAGAGGCTCATATAGATAGTATAACGTCAGCCGCATACTCTACTCTGGCAAAAGTCAGAACATCCTTCAGAAACTTGAATAAGGAGGCTTTTAGATCACTGTATACCGCCTACGTGAGGCCAGTCTTAGAGTATGCCGCACCATCCTGGAGCCCCCATCTTAAAAAAAAAATAATAAAAAAATGAAAACAAACACGGAAGGAGGCTCGAATAGGTGCAGAAATTTCCGCTTGTAGACTCGTCCCAGAGCTGCAAGGGATGAGGTACAAAGAGAGACTGAAGGAAATAAACCTGACGACGCTTTAAAGGAGGAGAGGGGGAGGGGACATGATACAGACGTATAAAATACTGACAGGGAGGATTGACAGGGTGAAAAAAAAAATGAATTTTTACAATGACTACCAATAGAACAAGAGGGCACGGATGGAAGCTCAGATGTGTCATAGAGATGTAAGAAAGTTTTCTTTTAGCGTAAGAGTAGCGAGTAAATGGAATGACCTCAAGGAGCAGATTGTAGAGGCTAACTCTATTCACAACTTTAAATGCAGGTATGATAGGGAAATAGGTCTGGAGACATTGCATTAGACAACCAGAGTGGGGGGGGGCTAGAAAAGTGGTATCCAAGAGCAAGAGCTCGATCTCGCAGGCACAAATAGGTAAGTGGAACTAAGGTGAGCGCGCGCATGACCGCCACAACAATATCAGGAGAAGAGTGTGACTAGGAGCCTGTGTGGGTGACTCACCCTCAGAGAAGGGCAAGGTCCGCTCACCTGTTCCTTGTCACCGTCTTGGGGTGCCTCTGGCTTCTCCTACCTTATAGTTACCTTTATTGTTCTACACCCTCGCCACCCTGCCTCCCTCCCTGCCGCCCACTGCCTCCCTCCCTGCCGCCCACGGCCTCCCCTCTCCCTCCCTACGCCCACTGCCTCCCTCTCTTCCACCCGACACCTCTCCCTCCCAAAGGGTTCCCCTTTACCTCTTCCCATATCCGTTTTTCTCCTGCCCCATTGCGCAACCCTCGGCCCCCCTGCTCCCCTCCCTGTTGATTGTCCTGTCCCATCACCCTCCCTGCCCTTTCCTACGCCCTCTTCCCTCTCACCTTACCTGTCATGCCTTCACAATCCCTTTCCCACCACACTTTTATTCCCTTCCACCCATCCCATCTGATCGTATCCTGGGGCCGCTCCTGCCTTCTTACCCTCCCTACCTACCCCACTTGTCCCTGTCCCTCGCTTGCCTCTTCCTTCCCCTCCCCTCTCCTTCCCCTCCCTTCCTCTCCCTCCCCTGCCTCTTGAAGCAGCGTTCAGACGGAGGCCGCTTCAGAGCCGTGAGAATTAGTGACTCCTCCCACTACCCCTGGGGGTAGAGTTCAGCCCCGCCCACTCCCCCTACTCCCTCGTTTAACCGACCTTTCCCCAGGTAATCGGATATAGCTCTTTATCCGGCTGCCTAATACGGGTAAAAAATAACTGCACGGATCTTGCCCCTCCGGTTTGCTTTCGAGTGTGCAAGAGCAGAGAGGCGGGACGCGGGGAGATGGAGCGATTTGGGGGCTCGGCTAGCGAGGTCCACGTTGGATGGTACCTACGTTGATGGCATATTAATAGGTGGGCCTTCAAACCTCATTACTTCTGTTCTGTTTGACCCAGTATCACCGAGACGCGCTGCATCCCGTTCCCGCTAATCCCTCTCCAGTACAGGTAGCCAAGGGGAGGGAAGGAGGGAGGGAGGGCACGTTATTCAAGCTACCATCCCCTTTCCCTCCATCCAAACCCCCCCTCCCTCCCTTCCTCCTAAAGCTGGTTACACAGTGGGTCTCCCAAGTGCTTCAAACCATCGAACTAGAAAAGAGGAAAAGACAAGGTTGCTCAGAACCAGTTCTTGTGGAGGACTCTTGATGTTGTGGAGGACTCCTGTTGTTGTGGAGGACTCTTGGTGTTGTGGAGGACTCTTGGTGTTGTGGAGGACTCTTGGTGTTGTGGAGGACTCCTGTTGTTGTGGAGGACTCTTGGTGTTGTGGAGGACTCCTGGTGTTGTGGAGGACTCTTGGTGTTGTGGAGGACTCTTGGTGTTGTGGAGGACTCTTGGTGTTGTGGAGGACTCCTGTTGTTGTGGAGGACTCTTGGTGTTGTGGAGGACTCCTGGTGTTGTGGAGGACTCTTGGTGTTGTGGAGGACTCTTGGTGTTGTGGAGGACTCTTGGTGTTGTGGAGGACTCCTGTTGTTGTGGAGGACTCCTGTTGTTGTGGAGGACTCCTGTTGTTGTGGAGGACTCCTGTTGTTGTGGAGGACTCTTGATGTTGTGGAGGACTCCTGGTGTTGTGGAGGACTCCTGTTGTTGTGGAGGACTCCTGTTGTTGTTGTGGAGGACTCCTGTTGTTGTGGAGGACTCCTGTTGTTGTTGTGGAGGACTCCTGTTGTTGTGGAGGACTCCTGGTGTTGTGGAGGACTCCAGTTGTTGTGGAGGACTCCTGTTGTTGTGGAGGACTCCTGTTGTTGTGGAGGACTCCTGGTGTTGTTGTGGAGGACTCTTGGTGTTGTGGAGGACTCCAGTTGTTGCTGTGGAGGACTCCTGTTGTTGTTGTGGAGGACTCCTGTTGTTGTTGTGGAGGACTCCTGGTGTTGTGGAGGACTCCTGGTGTTGTGGAGGACTCCAGTTGTTGTTGTGGAGGACTCCTGTTGTTGTTGTGGAGGACTCCTGGTGTTGTTGTGGAGGACTCTTGGTGTTGTGGAGGACTCCTGTTGTTGTTGTGGAGGACTCCTGTTGTTGTTGTGGAGGACTCCTGTTGTTGTGGAGGACTCCTGGTGTTGTGGAGGACTCCTGGTGTTGTGGAGGACTCCTGGTGTTGTGGAGGACTCCTGTTGTTGTGGAGGACTCCTGGTGTTGTGGAGGACTCCTGGTGTTGTGGAGGACTCCTGTTGTTGTGGAGGACTCCTGGTGTTGGAGGACTCCTGTTGTTGTTGTGGAGGACTCCTGTTGTTGTTGTGGAGGACTCCTGTTGTTGTTGTGGAGGACTCCTGTTGTTGTGGAGGACTCTGGGTGTTGTGGAGGACTCCTGTTGTCGTGGAGGACTCCTGTTGTTGTGGAGGACTCCTGTTGTTGTGGAGGACTCCTGGTGTTGTGGAGGACTCCTGTTGTTGTGGAGGACTCCTGGTGTTGTGGAGGACTCCTGTTGTTGTTGTGGAGGACTCCTGTTGTTGTTGTGGAGGACTCCTGTTGTTGTTGTGGAGGACTCCTGTTGTTGTGGAGGACTCCTGGTGTTGTGGAGGACTCCTGTTGTTGTTGTGGAGGACTCCTGTTGTTGTTGTGGAGGACTCCTGTTGTTGTGAAGGACTCCTGGTGTTGTGGAGGACTCCAGTTGTTGCTGTAACTCCTGTTGCTAGGGAGGTAGGTTTAACCTACACTAGTGCCCCAGGGAGGTAGGTTTAACCTACACTAGTGCCCAAGAGAGGTAGGTTTAACCTACACTAGTGCCCCAGAGAGGTAGGTTTAACCTACACTAGTGCCCCAGAGAGGTAGGTTTAACCTACACTAGTGCCCCAGAGAGGTAGGTTTAACCTACACTAGTGCCCCAGAGAGGTAGGTTTAACCTACACTAGTGCCCCAGGGAGGTAGGTTTAACCTGCACTAGTGCCCCAGGGAGGTAGGTTTAACCTACACTAGTGCCCCAGGGAGGTAGGTTTAACCTACACTAGTGCCCCAGGGAGGTAGGTTTAACCTACACTAGTGCCCAAGAGAGGTAGGAACCACATCTACCGCCCTACAGAACAATGTTCACAAGGTTGTATCGAACACCAAACGGACAAGACGAACAAATAACGCCACAGATTCCCACGGGAGCTTCTTCGCTCCTCCGTTGAGCCAAAGTTAGTCAAGACGACGAAGTCCCCTTCACGATGCCTCTACCCATTGTTTAAAATAGCAATCGGCGAGTCCTGTCTTAACAGAAAGTTTTCCCAAACAGTTGACCAAGACGCCCCTGTCTCATAGCCTCCACGACAGGAGATCGGGGCCTCGACGACGTCCTCCTGTCCTCCACGACGGACAGTAGGACGAGGAAGAGACGGTAACGGGACGACGAGGGCCTCAGCGCCTGCCAGGAGGGAGTATATACCCACATTCTCCAGTCATGTTTATGGAGGCTCGTCTACCGTAATTATCCCCTGTGAGGACGTCCAGTTTAATACCCCACCAGGGGGCGTCTCTCGCTCCCAGATAGTGGCGATTGTGTATGGGGAGAAGAGCAGGTTGGGGTGAGTAGTGGGTGGCTGGGGAGAGTAGTGGGTGGCTGGGGAGAGTAGTGGGTGACTGGGGAGAGTAGTGAGTGGCTGGGGAGAGTAGTGTGTGGCTGGGGAGAGTAGTGAGTGGCTGGGGAGAGTAGTGTGTGGCTGGGGAGAGTAGTGAGTGGCTGGGGAGAGTAGTGTGTGGCTGGGGAGAGTAGTGGGTGACTGGGGAGAGTAGTGTGTGGCTGGGAGAGTAGTGGGTGGCTGGGGAGAGTAGTGTGTGGCTGGGGAGAGTAGTGTGTGGCTGGGGAGAGTAGTGGGTGGCTGGGGAGAGTAGTGTGTGGCTGGGGAGAGTAGTGAGTGGCTGGGGAGAGTAGTGGGTGACTGGGGAGAGTAGTGTGTGGCTGGGAGAGTAGTGGGTGGCTGGGGAGAGTAGTGGGTGACTGGGGAGAGTAGTGTGTGGCTGGGGAGAGTAGTGGGTGACTGGGGAGAGTAGTGTGTGGCTGGGAGAGTAGTGGGTGGCTGGGGAGAGTAGTGTGTGGCTGGGGAGAGTAGTGTGTGGCTGGGGAGAGTAGTGGGTGGCTGGGGAGAGTAGTGGGTGGCTGGGGAGAGTAGTGAGTGGCTGGGGAGAGTAGTGTGGGGCTGGGGAGAGTAGTGGGTGACTGGGGAGAGTAGTGTGTGGCTGGGAGAGTAGTGGGTGGCTGGGGAGAGTAGTGTGTGGCTGGGGAGAGTAGTGGGTGGCGGGGGAGAGTAGTGTGTGGCTGGGGAGAGTAGTGTGTGGCTGGGGAGAGTAGTGTGTGGCTGGGGAGAGTAGTGGGTGACTGGGAGAGAGAGTAGTGTGAGGCTGAGGAGAGTAGTGGGTGGCTGGGGAGAGTAGTGGGTGGCTGGGGAGAGTAGTGTGTGGCTGGGGAGAGTAGTGTGTGGCTGGGGAGAGTAGTGTGAGGCTGGGGAGTGTAGTGTGTGGCTGGGGAGAGTAGTGGGTGGCTGGGGAGAGTAGTGTGTGGCTGGGAGAGTAGTGGGTGGCTGGGGAGAGTAGTGTGTGGTGGGG